TCTACCAAACATTGATGACATAAGCGGTAAGGAGCTTGTGTTCCTTAATCAGAGGTATCGAGTTGCAGTCATGGGAATGAAAAAAATGGTCTTAGGAGAGTCGCTTTTGTAGAGAAAGAAGAGGGTAAAACCACTGGTAAAAAATTTGAGTATCAAACTAAGATGGATTTTGAGTTATGTTTTTTTTCAAAGAACTTTTTGAGATGGATTTTGAATCAATCTATTATGTTTTTTTTCAAAGAGCTTTTTTGTGGGAGCAAGAGAAGAGGACAGTCAACTCATGCAAGATTGTGAAACTCTTTTTGTGTTTTTGAACTTATGTTTTATATAGTTATGTGAATTATATTTTTTAAATATGAAATTGTTTATTGAATTTTGAGTAGTTACTTTTGTGATTATATATATATATATATATATATGGGGTAGGATCCTTTGATACCTATCAATAATATCACATGCTTACAAATCAGAGTTGTTGATCTTTTTTGATCTAATGGACTATCAGATGAAGTGTCAAACTTTAAATTTATATATTATTTTTATGATTTACGTTTCTACCATTCCTTACGTTTCTACCATCCCTTACTGTAACATCTCGCGTAATTAGGAGAAATATATAATTGCGATGAGGAACGTGGAAGCACATATTAAATTCAAAAAATATATATTCATGCATGCCTAGCTTTCGAAATTATATAGTTATTTCCTTAGGATGGAATTAAATTAATTTGGTGAATTATTTGAATAATAATCATAGTGAGTATTTGTCTCAGGCATTTGAAACTCTTAGTAATAATATAGTAATAAATTGATAGTAAAATATAAGATGTCTAATAATATTTAAAAGACAAGGGAACTTAATAAGTTTTGGGCTGATTCATAAAGTAGCAAAACCATTGGACTTAGATATTTTGAACCCAAATTCTTGGGTTGGCCGAAGCCCTTAGGGCCTTAGGAAGAGTTTTAGTTCAGCCCAAAGCTTTTCCTACATCTTCCCTAAACCCCACTTAGCCTTAGAGAATCATGACCCTTTCCCCATTGACCAAAATGTACCACATGGCAAAACCTCACCCATCCTTACCCTCTCTATACATGTGCACCTAGGAGAGACAAAAAAGAGCAGAAAATTCTGATGCCTTGTTGAACCTATTCAGCCTTACTACATGCAGCCAATAATGGAATAGGAGGTCAATTTGCATGTCATTTAAATGGGCAGAAATGCCACTTACATGTCACCTTATTGGACGCATGGATTAGAGAGTGTGAGGTCAAGAGAATTCTGACCTTTGAAGTTTTTAAATCAGCCCTAAAACCTCTTCCTTGTGCGTTATTTCATGTACTAAGGGTGAAGAAAAATCTGATTCCATATCTTAAAATCCACTTCAACTATTGCATGTGTACCATGTGGCAAACACAATCTTCCATCACCCTTGCATGTGCCTTGAGTGTGTAGAAAGCAATCTGATTTCTTGTCCTAACACTTAAGTCCTTTAGCTTTAATCAGTCATGCAGCCAATGCAAACAAAGAGAAAGCTGTATGGTGTTAATATGATTCAACATTCCAACCATTTCCTCTTCATCTCTTGTGTGTACCCTAGGAAAAAGAAAGCTAACCCTTTTACTCAAAATAAAAACCCATACACCACCCTCACATCCTTAAGGCCGTAGACATTTAGCAAGGAGATCAAACCAGAATTTGTATCCCTTTTTTCCTCCCTAAACCGTGAGTGGAAATATAGCAAAGAAACACAAAAGTCTTGTATTATCATTCTCCCTTCCTTGACCGTAAAGAACAGTGAGAAACATACCAAGAGAAACCACCAAACTGCATCTTGTTCTCACCTACTCATTCATTTTAAGAACCGTGGAACCTCTTGGGGAATTACCAAGTCTCAAACACAAGTTCCCTCATCTATTCCCTTGGTTGTGCGTCCTTATTCCAAAAGGTAATGTGTGCCTCTGTTTCGCTGCTCATTCTTTTGGTTGAAGGAGACGTTCATTGTAGGTAAATAATAACATAAGCTAATTTTTCCTCTCCTCCTTCTTGCGTGCGCGGTCACTATTTAGAAGTGTGAAGCTTGCTGTTTCGTGGAGCTTGGAAGGCAGTGGTGTTATTCCTTATTCCATTTGGTTTTCTTATGCTTGCAAGAGGTAGGCACAAAACCCCTTCTTCCTTTCTCTATTCAAAAAGTAAGGCATGCTTAGGAAGTGGTACTCTTAGCTATTTTATATTTTAGATTCTGCCATGTATGTCATTGGATCATAGTGAAAGCATAATAAAAAAAAATAAACTTGGTAATGATCTTAAAAATTAAATGGTGGGCTGTTTGGTGATAGTTTGGTGTTCCCCTAAACTTTTAGGTAGAAAAATAAATTGGACAGCATGCTTAGGTCCTTTGTAGCGCACCATACATGGATTAGTGGAGTTTTGAAATAAGTTATTCAAGATAGTTGGTCTTGATAAAACCAATTCTGACTTGGTAAATTTTATTGTGAACTAAGTCTTATTTAAATTAAAATACAGTATGAGTTTAGGTCCCCCTTCACACACCCTTGTCTTGTTAAACTAAATTTCGAACAAATGTCTTGAGTCTTTATATACTTGGAACCAATTCTGTTTTGAGCCTAGATGTGTACTAAGTTCCATTTAAATTATGTAGACAACATGCTTTATAGGCTCTACCTTGCGCACTTTCTTTTTTAGTAAAGAAGTAGAAATCATATGAATTATAGCTTGAGCGAATTGTGTATAAAAACCCGATTCTGCCGTGGTTGGGAACATTAGAAATCTTCGCTGTTTAACGTTGGTAAAACTTAAACTAAAATCAGAATATTTTTGGGAAAATAGCCATGGTGGCCGAACGGGTACATGAACCCTTAAGCTTGGAAAGTCATTGGTAATTTACATGAATAGCTAGAATGTTTTTCTGATTGGATTGCACTTGAATATATATATAGGTGCGCATACTTTGTGAGACTTTGGATCAGTTTAGCTGCTGCCTGGTAATTAAATTGATGATGTGTGAGGTAAGTGTTTGGTGGTATTACCTGATGTGACTATTAGCTAGCGTATAGAATTGTGAATTGTTGCTCACATGTGTCTTGGATTAATGTGATGTTATATGCTACATGTATGCTGCCTATGAATGTGACAAGATGGAAAATCATGAATGAGAAGTAATTGTTATGTGGCAGCTTGGTACGGAAAGTACATGAAAGATATGCTATTATGATGATGATCTAGTCATGCATATACACCTCATAATCCATTTGTTTCTTGTTTGTGTGTGAAGCATATCATGGCATACATGCACGAATTTCATGTTGTTCATGGATCAGAATATTTATATAAGTATGCATACGATTGAGCACGCATCATATAAGCATCCCTTCGGTACCAGGGTATGGTACCAGGGTATGGGACACTTGGCTTCCGTCCGCATAGGCCACAGTTGGAATTCACCTTTGAGGGAGCCATTATGGAATATCCACTGTGTATGTACGCGCACGACGGTGCTATGAGCGTAATGATGGCGTTATATACGCACTAATGATATGTTAGTACGCGCACGAAGGTGCTATGAGCGTAATGATGGCGTTATATACGCAATATGATATGTTAACGGAAAATGAAATGTTGATGTGACTGTTTATAATTTTGTGCCTAGTTTAATATTGTTGAATTATTGGTTTTGCTATCACACTACTGGAATTTTTCTCACCCCTTTGGGGCTGCTATTTTTACAAAATGGCAGGAGAACGGAAGAGCATAGGAAGACATGATTATATGGATATCTGCTGTTATGTGCTGCTGTTTGGACAATTGATGTGGCTGTTTATTTGATGGATGACTGTATTAATTTGAGTAGTTTGGATTACTGTTGGATTATGATTTTATTGCTGTGTTAAGACTTTTATGATCAGCAAGTATTTTGGCAACAAATTCTAGAAACGTTTTGCGAAAATAATTTCCGATGTTTTACTAAGTGCGGATTTTTAAACAGTTTCGCGAGCACTTTGCGAGTTATGTTTCGAGGGGCAAACGAACTCCGAATTACTATTATTTTATATGCACGTGAAGCTCCAGACGTGCTCTTTTTAGATTATATGGAATATTTTTTTTGAATCGTTGAATTTGATTTGATACAAATTTTACAAGACAACAACGTATGCTAGAAAAATTAATATTTTCATAAGTTAAGAAATTTTGAAAGTACACTCTGATCTTTGGAAGGAAACTGATTTCAATTACAAGTTTTAATTAGCAACATCAAAATGATTTTTCAGTATTTAAAATATGACGAACGAACTCTAATTCCGCTTAGCAAACAACTCTCTTGGATGCATACAAGGGAGGGTGTTACACTTACGTTTCCATGTAGAAACTAGACTTTGATAAATTGGATTAGTGGCATTTGGGTCATTTTTCCTCACCTTTGCGGGGAACAAAATTTTGGTGCATGAGATGTACCCAACTCGATACATTTTTTTCCAAAATTGATGAAATTTTTTCCAAATATGAAAAAAAAAATATCGAGTTATTTCCCTTTATGGTGGACTACCTTCGAGTCACTCTGTTGCGGTTTCGCGTGCTGGCTTCACGAATAGCTAGCTTTCACCGTATATAGCACGGATTTAATTTCTAAAAATTTATAACTAACTAATTTAAAAGAAATAAATATTTTTTATCAACTGAAAAGGAAAAATTATGACAACGTCAATTTTATCAATAAAACTGTAATGGTTTTGGGTGATTCTTTTTAAGTAATAAAATTTGCAATAGACTAACGAGCTTATCAGAACCTATCACCCTTTTTTTTCACTCATTTGGAATAAACTTTTTTTATGTATTTCGTTTCTAATTTTATTGTGTTCCATGACCATTTTTTAAATCAAACAAGAAACAAGTATTATTGCACTGCACTGTCCTTCACTTTTCAGCAAACCAAAAAGCACCCAAAGATAAATAAAACTCATGATGACCGATGTCATTCAATCGACTAGTAAGCCATTTGGCTAATTTTGTTCTATTTACATATGGTATATCACCCAACTCATCTTTAACTAACTAATCTGCTAACTAAACTAACTATTACTTATCACAACCAAATCATCCTCCCAATCACCACAACTAACAAACAAAAAGCTTCAATCAATTTGGAAAATTCCACGGCTCATGGTTCAACCTTGAGCTGTAGGATTGAAAGTGCTCAAAATGATGAGGTTAAAAACTTTTGTTTCATGTATGGCTTGAGTTTTCTCGTATTTATCGTCCTTCATGAAGATCTTCAGAGTAAATCACCGTCCTAGAAATGTTGTCATTGTCAAAGCCACTTAGACCGGAGTAATGACCTGAAGAGAACATCGAAGATGTTCCATCAAACTCAAAAGTGCTAGAGGACTGTCTCAGGTTGGCCCGTGTATTGGATGAGGCTAACACAGAATCTTGATATTCTGTGATGCGCTGCACCATCTTAAGTGATTGTACTACTTCGCCCATTGTGGGTCGTTGGCTTGCTTCAGGAGCAACACAGGCTGCAGCAATTGTGCAAACTCGTACAAAATCTTCCTTTGGATACTTTCCCCCAAGTCTTGGATCAGCAATCTCGTCCAACCGGTCCTTATCTCTAAGGATTGGCCTAGCCTGAAAGGAATAATAAACTTACTGTCCACCCAATGTAAAAAATAGAGAATGGGAAGATAAATTGAACTTCATGAACTTGAAAAGAATAACGTTGGCTGGCAAGGTATGGAACTAACCCAAGTAGCAAGGTTCTCTTGTCCAGTTGATTGTGACATATCCACAGGTTTCCTTCCAGTAAGCAGTTCCAGCAAGACAACCCCATAGCTATAAACATCACTTTTAACAAGTAGGTGTCCAGTCATGGCATACTCAGGAGCTACATACCTACATAAAAGTTTCATGTCATTTTAAATCTATATTTTATGGAAATAACAAGTCTAAGAAAGAATGCACCAAGACTAACCCAAATGTGCCCATGACACGAGTAGACAAATAATTACAATTGCCTTCAGGTGCCTGCTTAGCAAGTCCAAAATCTGCAACCTTAGCATGAAAGTTGTTCTCAAGCAATATGTTGGATGCCTTGAAGTCTCTATGTATTACACAGGGCTGTGAGTCTTCATGCAGGTATGAAAGTCCTCTTGCTGCATCAAGTGCAATCTTCATTCTGGTGTCCCAATCCAAAGGACAATTTATTCCCAAGGGACCTGGGATAGGTAAAGGCTAACTTCAATACAGGCATAAAACACGTTTTGAAAAAACTATACAAAGTACAATAATAGAACGAAAAAAGAATATGTAAAGTTCAAAATTAAAGTTGAACCCATGATTTGAAAAATTACATTACCATGAAGCCAGGCCACCAAACTTCAATACAGGCATAAAACACTTTTTGAAAAACTATAAAAAGTACAATAATAGAACGGAAAAAGAATATGTAAAGTTCAAAATTAAAGTTGAACCCATGATTTGAAAAATTACATTACCATGAAGCCAGGCTTCCAAACTTCCATTAGGGACAAGTTCATAGCAAAGTAGATTTTGTGATGAGTCACGATTACTATAGTATCCCACTAGTTTCACAAGGTTACGATGGTGCAACCTACTAAGCATCTCAACCTCAACCAAAAACTCTTTGTCACCCTGTTGCCCTCCATTTGTAAGCCTTTTAATTGCTACAGAAGTACCATCATTTAAGACACCTTTAAAAACCCTACCAAACCCTCCTTCTCCAAGTATGCTTGCAGGTTCAAAATTGTTTGTCGCTTCTTTAAGTTCTTCATAAGCAATAAATCGTGTACTGGTGGTTGGGTGGGGAAGAGAACCTACAGCTGAAACTACACTTTCTGTCCTAGGCTTTTCTGCAAGAATTAGAGAAAAAATTAGTAGCAGAGACTAGAATACAATATAAAATCACACAAGATAATGGAAATGTATTTTAAAATAAAATGAAAAACAGCACCACATCTAAAACCACTACTACTACTAATATCAATGCTACAGATAGGAGCATCATTAGTTTCTATTTATTTCATCAACATCTGGCACGTCATTTCTTCATAAATATAACACATGTTGAATCTCACATGCATATGATCTTACATTCTACCTCTTATTGTTTAAAAAGTAAATTGATGCTTGCATGAAAGCCTAAGCAGAATTAAGTTTCTTAACAGAGTTTAAAAAAATTAAAAATGAAAATAAAACTATTTTGCTTCAAACAGAATTATAACTGGCAACCTTCAATTTTTCAACAAAAACGAGTTATTATAATTTCAATTTTCTATTCCTGATTCAGAATGATAAAATTGTATACTAATAAACATCCACATTCAACTCTCATGATCCCAATTCACAATACACTCATAATCATCCATATTCAACTCCAAAAAACGGTCCTCAAGACCCTTCTTGATCACTTGTCCCAAACAATTACAGCCCTGATTTTTCAAGAAGCAGGGGTCAACAATTTCAATTTTATATTCTTGATTCAGCAGGATAGAATTCTATACTACACAAGTTTCACGATCCCAATTCACAATACATTCATAAACATCCATATTCAACTCCAAAAAGAAAGATCTGAAGATTGATTTATTAACCCTTCTTGATCACTTGTGCCAAACAATTATACCCTTATTGATCACCTGTGCCAAACAATTATAGCTCCGATTTTTCATCAAGCAGGGAGTCAACAACTTCAATTTTATATTCCTGATTCAGCAGGATAGATTTGTATACTAAACAAGTTTCATGATCCCAATTCACAATACACTCAAACGTCCATATTCAACTCCAGAAATTTTTTCTAAAGATTAATTTAAGAACCCCACTTGATCAGTTGTGCCAAACAATTATAGCACTGCAGTGGAATTTGCTCCATCCCAGACAACTCTCTCTCTCTCTCTCTCTTCCTTTTCCTCATAACACATCACAGTTTTTCCTTTAAATGGATCAATTTGCCTCCATGTTGTTTATACTTTGTATTTACTGACACTATAATATCCAAATTATAAAAAGGTGGCACTAGGTTGTTATGGGAATCAAATATAATATATATACACAAACACACACACATAAACAGAACTACAATTAGAGAAATTTACCAGTTTCTATGGGAGGTGTTTTTGTCTTCGGTACCAACACACATAAACAGAATAAAAGCACAGATACAATAGCAATGAAGAGTGTGCCAGTAGCAATTCCAAGAATAAGAAACAAATTTGAATTCCTTCCCGTATTTGAAAAACTCGACGATGTAGCTGTAGGTGAATGATACATAGGAGCTTTCACAGGCCATGCAGCTAAAGTGGGAGCTGCATTAACATACAAAGATATGTTAATACAAATAAACGCATAGTTATTCATTTTTAACCCCTTTATCAAACCCCACAAAGGCACTTGTTTGTTATTTTTTGAATTTAATAACAGTAGAAAAGCATCTGGCTTTGTATTACTTAAACATCAAGGCCTTAAGTGTATGTAATATTAAAAATTAAAATCACATATGTAAACCCACAAATACAGACAGCTAATGTGCATAACTAATGTTATGCAAGATAGTAGATCTTTACTAATGTTATGACAGATTGTAATAACTATGACACATAGTTATTCATTTTTAACCCCTTTATCAACCCCCACAAAGGCACTTGTTTGTTGTTTTTTGAATTCAATAACAGTAGAAAAGCATCTGGCATTGTATTACTTAAAACACCAAGGCCTTAAGTGTATGTAATATTAAAAATTAAAATCACATATGAAACCCACAAATACAGAGAGAGTGAGAGACACCTAACGTGCATAACTAATTTTATGATAGATAGTACATCTTAACTAACATAGAAACCACTATTCAAATTAATATTTAACACTAACAGTCAACCAAGAAACAAAAATACTTTCATAAGCATCAGCAATATCTGCTGTTTGTTGGTAAAATACAAAATCTATGAAGAATTTAAATATACAGCTATCAGATGCCATGAGTAAAAAATAGATCCCTTCAGCCTAAGAAAACTTTATCTTCTCCTTAACACTACAGCAGGAAGCATGAAATACAAACAAATTGAGATGAATATAGACAAAGCTGTAAGGGGGCGAACCGGAGCAGTGGTAAAACTGTTCCTTCATGACTGAAAGGTCATGCGTTCGAATCCAGGAAACAGCCTCTTTGCAATTATGCAAGGGTAAGGCTGCGTACGAGGATTTCCTCCACCCCACACTCGCTAGTCGGGTTTAACGGGGAGTGATTTTTTATTTTTTATTTTTAGGCAAAGCTGTATACTAGCAATTAAGTAAAAGCTGTAACAGTAAGATTTATATACATTACAAATGTTCCAAAACTAAGTGCAAATAAACACTATACATCTACGTACAATATTCATCTCTCCATTAGTTTCAAAATCAAGCATATCAATGCATCATGATTAGTAATGACATATTTTAGAGGTAAAAAGGCCCAGACTTACCTTGAGCAGGAGGTGGAGGTTCAAACCACGTTATACTGAGAAGTTTGTATTCACCCACTAATCCAGGGTTAAGTTGAACCTTATGCATTAAAAGCGAAGATTTTATTTTAGATGCATCATTGGCAGAGAAACTGATGCCTTTATGTGGAGTAATATCCATCGATATATTTAATGTTGATAAGCTGAGTACATAAAAGTTTATCAGTTCAATCTGGTTACTTTGCAACCCAAGCTGTGTAGCTAATTCATCAAGAAAAACATTCCAATTAGGATTTTGAGATACATTCAGAAGAAGAAGATCTAGCTTTATGGGATACACACAGTGGCAACTCTTACTGTCTCGTTTCAACACCATGTCTTGTTTACAACAATCTGGCATAATAAAAATAAGCAACCATGTCATTATCAGCTGCAGGTCCCAAAGCTCACAAATATCATGAAGGACACGGCAATGTTTAATATTCAAAATTAAGCAGCTATTTACAACAGGACGTGCCAATTTTCTGTGGTGAGCTTGCTATGAAAAGAATGTTACAAAAACGTTAGAAATAAAAAGTTATGATTTATAAGGGGAAAAAAAAAGTATTGACTTACTGGAAGAATAAGGGGACAACGGTGGCTGAGCCAAAGCAGAAGGGACTGCAGCTGCAGTAGAATACATTGGAGAAATACCTTTACGGCCAGAAATTGGAGGTTTCAATTCGCCCCTCTTCTTGAATGGTATGGGTAAATGTGAACTTGCAGGGGGTTGATCAGTACTTATGAAATGACCATAGGAAGGGGGATTGGATGGTGACAGTGCCGCCATTGGTGCACCACGAGAAACATGGAGATTTGCTGGTAGTGGTAGATCACGTACAACAACAGAGTTCAAAAGTGATCTAGCTGAAGACTCAGTGATAAATACCAGGCAAGATAACATAAGCATCCCTTTCAGCAACATGCCTTGAACCTTTTTCAATATACCTGCATTATCAGTAAAAAGCCAAAACCAACTATTAAGGATGCTTGACAAAACTCTAAAATGTAAAAAAAAGTTATTACTTTTGAATAACATAGCCTGAGCTCTAAGTATTATGATTGCTTCTCAAGTGCCAATAAGCAAAGCCGTACAATAATATATTTTTTTTCAAAAAAATTTAATAAATATCAGTATTGTATTTCAAAGTCTGAACAGGTTATTACATGACCAAAAACAGAAGTTCTAATAATTGGTTTTCTTCGTATTATTCAATCGGAGCTAAAGTCGAGTGCTACTGTCTAAATTGGACAACATCGGTATACCATATTAACAAATTTTAGAAGATTAACTACAGAACAAGCTCTAAGACCATTAAGCACAAATTTAAACAGTTTATATACTCTCCCTACTGCATTTTCCTTTAATTTTTTAAAGACAGAAAATCGAAACTCCGTTGAAATGCAACAGCGCCTCTTGTTGTTTGAGCAGCATTTCCCTAGAGGAAATGACAACACTCGTGAGACTCTAAATAGTAACTCTGAATAGTAACAGCATTTCCCAACCAAAGTAACCGACCATGTGACTCAAAATAAAGCTCGGATTCCATTGTCTCACATACAAAATTAAAAAATTGAACATAAATTAAATGAAGAAGGAGCAGCCGAAAACCTATTATTACCGATTGGCATGACCGATGTCGTTGATTGCAACGAACGGTTCAGATCTAGAGGATTTAGATGAAATCAACGGCGAGAGATAGCAGAAGCTGCACTAAGAGCAAGGACCGCTAGTAACTGAAAATGAAGGTGGATCCAAACCCGGAACTTTCATCAAGGAGAAAGTTTCGGGTTGAGATAGTGAGCTCCGAGTCAAGCTCGCCATAGCTGAGTCAAATCGGAGAGCCGTGATTGCGAGTGGAGAGGGAGAACGGAGATGTCGTTGTTGCCTTGGCTGCAGCCTCAGTGAGGCATTGCCATAGAAGCGGGTTTTTTTTTCTGCTATTTATTTATTTATTATTTAATATAAAATAATTTGGGTACGAAGGGTTGGTTTTCGGCGTTTATTTTCTGTTCTGGTTTCCGTTGCGTGCGGGTGCAGAGACGTCGGCGTGCTTTAAATGCGGGACCCAACGTGCACCTTTAACGGAAAAGAACAAACTAACGGTAAGAGAGCCTCATGGGTCATGAGGGTTGAGGTATAGGGGATGATGGATAGACCTGACTTTTGTTAGTTTATTTTCGGGTGTGTTGCAGTTGCAGGGTAGGGATAATGGGTATGACTTGACAGCACAAAAGCGAAGGAAAATCGTGGAGTGGACACTGGACCCAGTGTGGTGTCGGTACTGTGTTTGCCAGATACCCGTTCGCAGGAAACCGCTTACTTAGACTTTGTGCATTAGGTTTGCTTGTGTGAGTTTTGGAATTGGAAAATCATATGCGCTCCCAATAATAGAAGGGTCTAATGCATTGTGTTGGCTTTAGTTGAGTTTATGTAATTTGTGTGTGCTTTTCTTTTCTTTTTTTCTCCATTCAATCCATAGTTAGGTGGAGTTTGATTGAATTTATGGTATAAATATATACCATCACATTGTTATTGATATAACACTCCTGATCTGGTTCTCCACAATTTTAGATTTGTAAGTTGACATAGGTTGAATATGTCTATTTATATTTATTAAAAAATTATAACAACAGTTGAATATAGACATAAATAAGGGAGAGATATTTTGATTCTAGTGTAAAACTTAGAAGACTTACTTTCTATTTTAACTATTAATTTTCGTTCATTTAAATGTTGTCATTTTTTAAAGTTAATATTTAATTAATTGATATAACTCAATAAACTATAATCATTAGAGGGACGAAAATTCATTATTAAAATGGAAAATAATACTTTTAAATCTTAAACCAGAGTCAAAATATCTCTCCCCATATAAATAATATGATCATAATTTATTGAATTATATTAATTAATTAGTTATTAATATTTAATAATAATATTCATTAAATGTAAATTGGTGAAGGACTAATAATAAATAGTGTAAGATTTTAAATATTTGCACATATATAAATTGTTTGTTTTCCTATTATCGTAAGTCTTAATTGTTGGTCCAGACATAATTATAATTAATTAATCCTTGAGAAAGTCTTAACCTCCAAAACAAGGATGCAAAGCTACGAATCGACTTTTAAAAAAATGATTTAAATGAGTCAAAATTAGATATCTAAATTTGACTTGTTTGAAACTATGAAGTTTCAACTCAACTTGTTTATATCTTATTTTTTATTTTCTTTCTTAAATGACTTTTTGAATTGTTTTTTAAGTCTATTAATCTATTATTTACTCAATTTTTTTCATGTTACAAGATTAAATAAAAATACGAGAAAATAAAAAATAACATAAAATACATCACAATCCAATAGCAGCAACGAGTGACGCAAGTAGAAGTGAGTTGCATATTTAGAAGATAAAAAGGTATATTCCACACTTAAAAGTAAAAGACCATACCATTTTGTTAATAAAGGAGATTGAAATTTTATTTGTCTCCTTAAAGGAGAAAATTTGCTCACCAATCAGAGACGTTATCTAAGACGCATGTCTGACATTGATATCTGTCCTAGATGCCTTAATGAGTGTGAAAGTTGGCCTCCACATGGTCAGTCTCCAAGGAGGTTTGGAAATCTTTTATCCCTCCTTGTAAAATGGTTTCATTTCTTCTCTATTAACTTTCTCTTGATTGGATTTTTCATAATTTGTCTCATTCCCCACCCTTGTTTATGGATCAAAACTGGCCCCTTTTGTTTGGTGTTGTTTGTTGGAAACTTTGGGCAGGCAAAAATGAATTGGTGTTTGATAATACTCATCCTGCTGTGGAGACTCTTGTTGGGAGTGCTCAAAGTCTCAAACAAAAATTTCTTGATGCTCAAATGCTTCTTTGCAAAGCTGGTCTACATCCTAAACCCATGGAGCATGCCCTTATTTTCTGGAAATTCTTAGAAGTTGGCTAGATTAAAGTGAACACCGGCGGTTCTTGTAGCAATGGTGGTGCTCGAACAGGCTATGGAGGTGTCTTGAGAGATGCTTCTGGCAACTGGATTATGGATTTTTCTAAAAATCTTGGTATTGGAATATCTACCATGGCTGAGCTTTGGGGTATGCTTATTAGCTTGGAGATGGCCTAGAATCTTGGATACAAAAAGATTCACTTGGAAGGTGATTTAGAAGTTCATCGAGGATGGATATCCCCTTATCATCCCCTCTCGAATCTGGTGCTACAAATTCACTGCCTCCTCCATATGATTTGTGAAGTTAAAATCACTCAGACCTATAGAGAATGAAAGAGTGTGGCTGATTGGTTTGCTACCCAAGCTCATCTCTATAGTTGAGATACTTTGATCTTCAATAACCCTTCCTGATTATTTGCAGAAGTTGAAAAATGATTTTCAGGCCATCTCTTGGCCTAGAAATATAACTATTAGTTAGTTGTTTTTGTTTTTTCCTGTATCTCCAGAAAAAAAGGAGATTAAAATTTTAAAATGAATTATATATTTTCATTACATGAATTGATGACCATCCCAACTAGTGTTTGGAAAAAGTTAACCAAGACATGATTCGGTTGTTTGCAAAAATAATTTATAATTGATAAATACGTCAAAAAATTGTAACACAAAATCACTTTTTCCAAAATTTATACCCAAACCTGATATCACAGTCGAGGGAGAGGAGTTAGACTGTGTTAACGTTTTGACGAAGGATATTCATCAATTGATCTAAATCAATTCAAACCACGGTAATCAAACTGAAAAATTGATAACGGAAATAATAGAAAATTGAAAAAAATAGCATATTTTAATTGGATTGAATCAGTTTTCGGTTTAGTTGATGAAAACTGATCCAATTCAAACCGATCCAATGTATTATGTATTTATTATTTTTGAAAGATGGTGGCTTGGAATCTTGTTATTTTGTAGACTTTAAATATTAGATATTATTGAAGCAAACTATCTTGCATTAGTTTTTTATTATTTATTAATCTATTTTAACTCTTCACAAGTTCTAAGACTTATAGTTTGATGTTATCAAAAAAAAAAAAGACTTATAGTTTGAAAACTTAAATTTATTTTTCGGTGGTTTGTAAATTTGTATGATTTTATTTCAATATAGCTAGAGATAAAAATTAAAAATCAATGCAATCAAAATTGAATAAAATTAAATTGGACTGAATTAAATTTAAAAAAAAATCAAATTAAATAGATGATTAAATAATCAAACAAAAAAAATTAAATTAAATAATTTTTATTTCAAAATCAATAGAATCCGGACTGATACACTGCAAACTTCCCTAGTTTTTATAAGGGAAATAATAGCCTTATATTGCATAATAAAATTATCTTATGTCATATACTTATAGAATTTCGTGTTTTTTTTTTGTTTTTTTACATTATAGACTCTACATATTTATGTCACTTACATAAAAGTACTATCTCATGTAAGATGAGATTAATAAACCCCTTTTTATACCCTTTTTTATAGGTGGGGAAACCAGAAATCCCCCCCGTCAATTTGGCAAATACAATCCCTTGAGATGGGCCAGCTTAATGGGCTTTCTCATATGGTTCGGGACCCGCCCACCCAACTCTAGATCCGTCGTCATCATCTCCTTCCTTTAACCAGGCATCGACCACGGTTGGGTGCAAAATTGCTGGTTGCAACGCAACGTTCCACACGCGGAAGCGCCAAATTCCCTTAGCCGTAGACCATAGCTCCGTGACTCCGTCACCCCTGTTTTACTAAACCGATAACCCTAAATTCCGTTATTTCACTTTTCTTACACCACCCTCTCAACTTCGCGCAAGCTCAGTTAGGGTTGTCTCTTGCTCTCGTTGTGTTTTACTACAAAACCAATCGCCAGACATGTCGAAGAGGAAGTTCGGATTCGAAGGGTTTGGCATAAACCGCCAATCAACCTATAGCTTCGAGCGATCTCAAGCTCCTCAGCGACTCTACGTTCCTCCCTCGTCGCGGCACGGCCATGACAATTACGAAGATACTGACCTCGACAACATCGATTACGACGACAACGATGGTCCCAGGGAGGAAGAGAACAACGACAATGGCGGCGACAAGAAGGACGGTAACGACGACGAAGAAATCGATCCCCTGGATGCGTTCATGGAAGGGATTCACGAGGAGATGAAGGCGCCGCCGCCTCCGAAGCCGAAGGAGAAGGCCGAGGACAAGTACAGAGATGACGAGGAGGACGATCCGATGGAGAGCTTTCTGAGGGCGAAAAAGGACCTAGGGTTGACGCTGGCTTCGGAGGCGCTGCATGCTGGGTATGATTCTGACGAGGAGGTTTATGCTGCTGCCAAGGCTGTGGACGCTGGTTTAATAGAGTATGATTCTGATGATAACCCTATTGTTATTGACAAGAGGAAAATTGAGCCCATACTTCCTTTGGATCACAGTTCCATTGATTATGAACCCTTTAATAAGGATTTTTATGAGGAGACCCCTTCAACATCAGGTAATTCAACTGCATAAACTCGTTCATGACAGTTCTGTTTGGAACAAACTCTATTTGCACAAGTGTGAGTCCTTAGCTACTTTTTTTATTTTAATGTCATTAAGTTTTGAGTTAACTGAGATTGAACATCTGGCGCCTATGTTTTTTTTCTTTTTTTACTTCAGGTATGAGTGAGCAAGATGTAACTGAATACCGGAATAGTTTGGCTATTCGTGTATCGGGTTTTGATGTTCCTAAGCCAATAAAGACATTTGAGGATTGTGGGTTCTCTCCACAAATTATGAATGCTATAAAAAAACAAGGTTATGAGAAGCCCACGTCTATACAATGCCAAGCTTTACCGGTTGTGCTTTCTGGTAGAGATATCATTGGTATAGCAAAAACTGGTTCCGGTAAAACTGCTGCTTTTGTGCTTCCAATGATCGTGCATATCATGGATCAGCCTGAACTCCAGAAGGAGGAGGGTCCTATAGGAGTGATATGTGCACCTACTAGAGAATTAGCACATCAGATATATCTGGAGTCCAAGAAATTTGCAAAATCGTATGGTATTCGTGTCTCTGCTGTCTATGGTGGAATGTCAAAACTTGATCAGTTCAAAGAACTCAAGGCAGGCTGTGAGATAGTTGTTGCTACCCCCGGCAGATTGATAGACATGCTAAAAATGAAGGCTTTGACAATGATGAGAGCAACTTACCTGGTTCTTGATGAGGCTGACCGGATGTTTGATCTTGGATTTGAGCCACAAGTAAGGTCCATTGTTGGTCAGATTAGGCCAGACCGCCAAACTTTACTCTTCTCTGCAACAATGCCTCGGAAAGTTGAAAAGTTGGCCAGGGAAATCCTTACTGATCCTATTAGAGTAACAGTTGGGGAGGTGGGGATGGCAAATGAAGATATTACTCAAGTTGTTCACGTAATTCCTTCTGATTCTGAGAAATTGCCGTGGCTTCTGGAGAAGCTGCCTGAAATGATTGATCAAGGTGATGCCCTCGTATTTGCTTCCAAGAAGGCCACTGTGGATGAAATTGATTCGCAATTGGCTCAGAGAGGCTTTAAAGTTGCTGCCTTGCATGGCGATAAAGATCAAGCTTCCCGTATGGATATTTTGCAGAAGTTTAAATCTGGCATCTACCATGTGCTTATTGCCACTGATGTTGCTGCTCGAGGTCTTGACATCAAGTCAATCAAGTCAGTGGTGAATTTCGATATTGCAAAAGATATGGACATGCATGTCCATCGCATTGGAAGAACAGGCCGTGCTGGTGACAAGGATGGGGTTGCATACACTCTTATAACTCAGAAAGAAGCACGATTTGCTGGTGAATTGGTTAATAGCTTAGTTGCTGCTGGTCAGAATGTGTCCATAGAGTTGATGGATCTTGCTATGAAGGTAAAAATGCCCGTTATAGTATATTCTTGTTTCATCAACATATATTGATGTTTATACAACTCATTTCAAGCTTGTAGACTCTACTATCTGTGGAATTATTGTTAGTTCATGTGATTGTAGGTTTTGCAGAATATCCTATTCATCCCTTTATTATGATATTCTTGTAGGTCTTGTTGGTTCACTGTAAGCTTTAATATAATAATGCTATTTACATGCTAAGAATCAATTAATAATTAGTACATTTTACTTAGCAGAGTTAAAGTAATGGTATTAATGCTGGCTGAGGTAGGTTTTTAAGAGGCTAAGAACATCAAAACTACATACTTTTGATAAAAATTCCATATCCATAATATCATTAGTTTTCTTAGGTTTGACTGTTTGAGAATAGCGCATCTTTTTTTTTTTTATGGTTTTAAAATCACTGAATTGCTCTTTTTGAAATGTGAAATGGTTCATAGGCTTGGTTGGTGTTGAGCAGTTGAATATGAAATTAAGGTCATGGAAGTATACAGATAGGAAAATATATTGGAATGAACAGTTTGGTAAGAGTATGGAAGGACAAATTGTTTTGGGAGTATAAAATAATGGTTGACTGCTTGATTGGTTGAAGGAAATAATAGTTGCCCGGAAGAGAATGAAATTGGTATTTTGTTGCCCTTGTCATCTTGGCTTGTTCATTTCAGCTACTCACGTTGTCAATCCGGAAAAGCCTTCTGTTCTAAGCCTTCTGTCATCAAAGGAATGGATTAGTTCTCACAACCATTTAGCTTATTACATCTGTAGGGTTGGTGCACTAATAATAAAAAGAGTTTATCGTGGAGATGCTTTTGTCTTTTATTAATACGTTTATTTTCCTTATTTTGTTGTTTTCTGCTCCTAAAATCTTGCCTTTTTCATATTTTAAGATGATGCTAAAAGGTTTAGATATCTCGTATGTGTCTTGATATTATTTAATGATGTTTATCTTGGAATTCAATAGGATGGGAGATTCAGGTCGAAACGTGATGCAAGAAAAGGAGGTATGAGATGTGACTAGCTCACTAGCATTATTGTGCCTGTAAAATAATAAATTTGGTGAGCAAAACAATGATAATAAAAAAAGGAGATCTGATTTTGCTGTAACACACCAGTTTATGCACTTGTCATTGGTCGTATTTTTATGCTTTAGCAGTAGAATCCTGATATTGGCAATTGCTTGATTGGAGGATCTATCTCTGAACATGTGTTGTGCAGGTGGTAGAAAAGGCAGAGCTAGAGGAGGAGGTGGCAGCGGCGGCGGCGGAGGTGGCCGAGGTGTGCGTGGAGTAGATTTTGGCTTGGGCATTGGATATAATCCAGAGTCAAATAACGCTTCATCTAACCAAGTTTCAAGTCGATCTTCCACTGCAAATTCTCTACGAACAGGAATGATGTCACAATTTAAGAGCAACTTCGTTGCTGCTTCATCAAACTCTCAGAATCAAGGATTCAGTAACAATACGAGCATGGCTGCCAATAAGAGACCAGCACTCCCTGGCTTTGTATCTGGTGGATCAATTGGTGGGGATATAAATACTCACCAATATACTGCTTCATCCAATCCTGCTACATCAGCAGTAAATTCCACAAGCCAAAGTTCTGGAGGAAATCCTGGTCAGAAGAGCACAAACAGGTTATTTTTCTTAGCTGAACTTGCTACATACGTATCTTAATGGTTAAATAATTTGGTTGCTGATGAAGTTTTTGATTTTCTTTTGCTGCAGTTCTAAACCGAAAGAAAGACGAAGGCCATCAGGTTGGGATAGATAGTCTATCTCATTATGGTACTTCTATCAAATCTATGAATGTTCCTATATTATAGGTCAAGTCTTGATTTGAATTTGTTTGTATTATGAATGCTCTAATTTCCGATCACGTATTATTTTAGCTTCTAAGTTGTAGAAAGGTTTGAGGTTTGTTTGGTTCTATTTTTATTTTTAAAAAAAACCATTTTGCCCACAAACGAAAAGAACAACAAACCCTTATCCTACGAAGTGTGGTCGATTACACCATTTACACATATGAATCAGCGGTATAGGTTCTGCTAAAAAAAAATTAATTAAATGTTTTGTACAATGCAACTTAAACCCTCTGTCAGGTCACCTTTCCCCACCATTGCATTTTATAAATCAGTAGATTTCAACTTCATTTATTTATTCATTTATTATACGATGAAAGTATTTCTGGATTAATTTTCTGTTAATTGAGACTTAAAAGTACGCCTTCACTCTTCATGGTATGTTTTATGGGTTTAGTGAGTGTTCTTTTTACAGGATGAAATGAATTAAGGAAAAAGAGAGGGTTATTACAAATAATATAAAAAATATAAAATAAAAAAAATAATATACTAGGCCGGCTTGAAAGGCTCTAAGGTCGAGTTTTTGAATTGGAGCCTGAGGTTTTTTTATTAAACGAGCTTTTATACAAATTCAAATCTGGTGTCAACAATTAATTTTAGACATGTAAGTTCAGGCCTTCACGAGCCGAGTTAAAAGCCCTTGACTCGTTTAGCACCCGAGTGAAAAGAGTTTGCAGTCTGCACGTCCCAAAAGTTTTATTTAGGATTTGAACGTACACTTTTTTGACAATTCATCCATCCTTGGCTCATATTATAAGTTTATAACACGAGTCAACCCTTGAGATTTATATTCATCCTTGTAAATTCATTTTAGTTGTCACTTATACAAATATTTTGATTTAATATATAATTTGGTTTACTTCTATTACTGTTTCAGGAGGATTTTTTTATTTTATTTTCATGTATAGAAAGAGTTTATTAGGAAAAAAAAAATATTCGATAATATAATTTATTTTTATTTTCAGAGAATAAATAATATATATTTAATAATAATAACATATTTTACTGTGTGTATATTTAACAAATAGTGTATCAGAAAAAAAAAGTTTATTTCTTATTTCCGTCAATTTGTATTCCTACACTACCAGTTTATTATATGGGTAATACATAGCTACTGTTACAGGAAAAAGAAGTTTTTTCCAGTAGAGACAGTTTTTCGTGGGCCCCATCGATTACTTTTTCTCTCTCCTTGAATTATTTTCTCTCTCATGAAATGTTGTGTCTACAGAACCATCTTTTATTTTTCTGCAACAGGACCGATACATTCCCCTTATTATATAATGTAGAGGCGTTTAAAAATATGATTATATTCTTCGACACTATTTGTACAAAGATATATATATTTTTAGGGTTATGTTTACCATATTTTACATGAGATAAACAACTTTTCTACATACACATAAAAGGGTTGGGTCTGAAGGGAAAACTTCAAAAAAAAACTCTACAAGTTTTCTCGAAATCACTTAACTCCCTCTCCGAAATTTTTAATCATTTATTTCCTTACTTAAAATGTATTTATCACTTACCCCCTTAATTTGATTTTCCATCCAAAATTTTATTACCAGAGTTAATTTTTTTTTTTGGCAAATTACATAATACAACCTTCTACTTACATACTTTTTCAAAAAGTCACCATGTACTTTCAATTAAAACAATTACTCATTTTATAGTATAACATTGAATCAATTAAACATATTCATTAATTTTAAGACATATTAACCCTGTGCTCAATCACCTCATCCATAACTTCTTAGCCTCGCTCATCAGTCACCATTTTTCAATGTCCGCCCATCCACTGTTAAATGAAAAAAAAAAATGGTGATCACCGCCTGTTGAGATATATAGTCTCTCATTGGTTGTATGAGCAACTAATGTGGCCTTTATAAGGCCTTGGACACTCCTACCCTTTGAGCTAACTTTTGGGGTGGTGTATCCCAAGGTTCTTCACATGGTATCCAGAGCTTGAGTGACTACAAAGTCACAAGTTCGATCTTCTCCGCCCCCTACTTTAAAGTGAAATTAAAATAAAAAAGCACAAAAAGGTAAACCAAAAATTGGGCCTGTGCAATATCCACACTTCAAGCCCAAAGGGCTCTCGTGTGAGGGGCGTGTTGAGATATATAGTCCCACATTGGTTGTATGAGCAACTAATGTGGCCTTTATAAGGCCTTGGACACTCTCACCCTTTGAGCTAGCTTTTGGGGTGGTGTATCCCAAGGTTCTTCACACCGTCAGAAAGACTGAAAGGGAACGATGATTGAATACAAGTCTCCATGTCATTTCAGATGCTTCGTTTCTACTGTAAAACCTTGCTTATATTATAGAGTAGAGATTTGGACCATCTTTGCCACAAGTCAATAATGTAGCTTTGATTTAGGTTTTTTATCAAGCATTTTGCAGACAATTAAATGAATAGACAAACTTAGACACAAGAGATTACAAAACTCGTAGCAAATGGTGAAAGTTTTTTAATCAAAATTCGAAATGTGATTCTTTCCTTTGAAACAACCTTCACATAATGGATGCATTAGTGAGATTCACACAGAAGAAGATTGACGCAGAAGCAAAAATAGAGATTAACAAATAGATTCCAATGTCATTATACAAATTTGGGCTGATTCTTTTTCTTTTATATCAACTTTAAGTCAAAAAAATTTCTGGAAGCATGCAACTTAGTTATGCCATACCAAAACTTAGTGATTCTCATAATCACAATTTTGAAGCACATACAAAACGAGAACAAAAAATAAAAGGCAGAATCTTGTTATCAACCAATTAAAAACAAAGAATGTTTATAGTTGTACCAGCATACTAGATTTGCAATATGCTTATAGTTGCACCAACATACTAGATTTGCAATATGCTTTGATGCATATCTCAACTCCCTCTGTTTTTGCCTATTGAAGACTTTTCATTTTTTAGTCTTAGAAGCAGTTCAATAGTTTAATTTCGCAGATACTAACTTTCAATTTCAATCATCGTTCCCTTTCTATCTTTACGATGGCGATCACCATTTTTTTTTAATTTAAGTTTGGATGGACAGACATTGAAAAAATGGTGGTTGTTAAGGGAGGCTGAGCAATTAGGTGGTGAGTGATCGAGCACAAGGTTAATTTTGTCTTAAAATGAATAAATATATTTAATTAATTCAATATTAAAGTGTAAGGTGGGTAATTGTTTTAATTGAAAGTAGATGGTGGTTTTTTGAAAAAACATCTAGGTTGTGTTTGGTTCAAGGGTTCTCAAAATTTTCCTATCTAAGTGCATGTGGCAATCCTTGTTCTCCTTGTTTGGTTGAAAGATTTCATAATTTTTATCCATCAAACACACTTGTCCAGCTAATTAGAAATGTGTGTTAAAAATGGACAAACACACTCTTGATGAATGCTCTGAGACATAGTATTCCTGTCAAAAACCAGAGAAATGAAAAAGTGGGTGAATACAATGACATTAATACCCCTCTTCTTATATGTTGTAATGGTTCAAAATTTTATAAAAAAGCTTGCTTTCGTAAATTCCATCTATTTCTCCATCAAATTTTTATTTTCAACCAAACATACACTCAACATATTTAACCCAATTTCCCTACTAATATTTTACGGTACCAAACAACTTTTTATAAACTTTCCTACCAAACTTACTTTCCAACATTTTTCCTTGTATTTACATTTTCCTAGTAAAAAAAAACATCTCCTGAACCAAACACCCCCTAAGTAGGTGGTATTATGTAATTTGCCCTTTTTTTTGAAAATATCAAAATTACCCTTAATAGAAAAAGGAAAAACATAATTTCCTTACAGACGCAATTTTAGACGAACTCGCGAAATATTTTCTTTAAGGTAGCCTTGTTAGAATTAGTAATTATTAAAATTGTTTCCTGCAAATCTCATTGCCATTAAACACTCACTCACAATTGTTGGCGTCGTTGTTCAAATAAAATGATTAAAGAGGCATCATCTCAGTAGGTTTAGATCTTTCCTTTTTCTGTTATAAGCTTTTCTGCTATTACATGACCAACAAATATGACTTTATAAATATATTCAGAGCCGCACTTTATTTTGTTTGCACAGTAACTGAAAAACTTTACGTTATGTGCTTCATATATGCCTTGTTTTTTCCTTAATCATATGATATTACCAAGCAAACATGCCGAATATGTTATTTCGTTGTTTTCTGTGTTGTTGAGAGTAGAGAGAGGATTCAATCATTGATTACATTCATGTCTTTCTTACGCGAGTTTGTCTAAAACTGCGTTTGTGAGGAAATTATATTTTTCTTTTTTCTATTAAGGGTAATTTTGGTATCTTTTAAAAAATTTAATTTTGTTAACAAAATTTTGGATGAAAAATCAAATTAGGAGGATAAATGATAAAGAAATTTTAAGTAGGGGGCTAAATGATTAAAAATTTCGGGGAGGGGTTAAGTGATTTTAAGGAAACTTGTAGGGTTTTTTTTGAAGTTTTCCCTAAAACAAATGATTTTTTGAAAAATTATCTTTAACAAAAAAATTAAATTTATTTTATCAAATATTATCTCTAATTAGTAATTAAAAAAAGGTGGATACAGTTGACTAAAGGTTTTATAGTTCAGGTTCAAACTCCATGATGTAAAGACTTTGTTGTGAATGATATATATATTTATTATTGAAAAAATTTACCATCCTTATAACAAATTTTATCACTATTAGAATTTAATTTAATAACTTACGATAAATACTTATAATCTTAATTTTTCACTCCAAACCATACACAATGTGTCATGTCAATGTGCCAAAAAGTAGTGTTGTGAGTTGTCGATGCTAAAGTAATTTTGGTATTACCAAAATTGGTTCTATAAAACTTGGTATTACCAAAATTGCGTGCTTATTCGTTCTAGCTTTGAACCCTCTCTTATTAGTTATTACCACTATAGGTAAAAGATAACACTTGGGATATATTTCTATCAGGCATTGATAAGGAAATCAATTGTTATTTAATTAAAATATTAGACCACAACCAATTATTGTTAAAAATGGCGAACCCCCAATTCTTAGACAACAATAATCGAGAATGACTTCGAATTTCCACAGCTAAGAGCCGGTTTGGATGGTTTTTTTTCTTTTCAAAATTTGTTTTTATTAAGAAAAAAAGTACTTTTCAAAAACAATCTGTTTGGATGCTTGCTATTAAAAAAAGCAGAAGTCATAAAAAAAGCTAAAAACTTACTTTTTTCGGAAACTTTTAAAAAAAACAGAAGTCAAAAGCTAAATAATTTTTTCAAAAATCAAATATTTTTTTTTTAAATTTAAATAACTGTAACTTTTGTAAAAAGTACTTTTAAAATAAGGAAGACATAAAAAAGACTTTATTAAAAAGTCAATACAATTGCAACCTAAGACACAAATGACGAAACCCCATTTTTTGTCATTACAGTAATTGAAATAGAAAAAATGGTCGAAACAAAGAAGAAGAAAAAAATGGATGAGAGAGAATAAGTAAGTGAAAAATTAATATAAAAATTGATTATCAGCCGTTCGATTAAAATCTAATTTAATGGTGATTAAGTTAGTTGTAAAAATATTAATTTTTTTTTATAGTAAATATAAAACTTCACTGTTAAATATTATATTTAAAGAGAGATTATAATTATTACATTTTTTCTTACTATCTCTTATTACTAAATTTTAATCGTTGATTCTATCAATTTAACGGTTGTAATTATTGAGTCATACTTATTAATTAATTATTAATTTCTAATAAATTATAACCGTTAGATTGACGAAAATCAACAGTTAAGATTTAGTAATAAGAGATAGTAAGAAAAAAAGGAAACAATGACCATTTTGTCACGCTTCACCAAATTATTTACCAAACTGCCACGCGAACAGTAAAAATTCCCGAAATGCCACGCGGCATAATTCGCTCCACTGTGCAGCGAATTATGTTTGCAAATAATTCGCTACAAAGTTTAGCGAAATATACAGTGCCAGACTGCACAGTCAGCAAAAATGACACGTGTCAAGCTGGCAGCATAACAGGCATAATTCGCTACACACCCCAGCGAATTACTGTCAGCTTGACACATGTCTTTTTTGCTGACTGTGCAGCCTGACACTGCATATTTCGCTACACTGTGTAACGAATTATTTGCAAACATAATTCGCTGCACCGTGTAGCGAATTATGCCGCGTGGCATTCCGGAAATTTTTACTGTTCGCGTGACAGTCTGGAAAATAATTTGGTGAAACGTGACAAAATGGTCAGTCTCCCGAAAAAAAGATATTAATTATAATCTCTCCCTATATTTAATCAGAAAAGAAAAGAAATTTTTAAATCGAAAAAAAAAACACACATTGATGATGACGATATCATTCGCACCCCAATTTACCGAAATAAAGTTACTAAATTTTTTTTTTACCGAAATAAAAACAAAGTTAAGGAGGAAATTGCATACATCCTCCAAACTTTCCCTTTTTTTTTTAATTTTTTTTAAACCCATAAACCCTCTCTCCGACTCGGAACTCGGAGTGAAGTGGCTATATTAAAGAAGAAATAAACATCGTATGATTCTCCAGATCTGTTCAGCCACCTTCGGTTGAATTCATCGCCCACCCTCAGATCCGATATGTCAATCAGAGTTGCCTTTCTATGCTTATTACTTATTATCACAACTTATTCTATTTCAGCTGTTTCTGCTGATTCCATCTATGGCTGCGGTGGATTTGTCGAGGTAAACTAATTTATCTATCCATCACCTTCTGTAGTACGAAACACATGGAAGTAATTGAATATCGGATTTCGTCTTAGATCAATGTTATCTTTATCCTCTGCGACTATTCAGATTGAAAAAATAAATGTGCGGATCTGAAATTTTTGCTCTAACTCACCATTTGTTTGTTTGTTTGTTTGTCGTTTCGTGATCTCATTTTTCTACTCACTTTATTTCAGATTAATTCGGTTGTTTATTTTTTGTATTAATTTTTTTTCCTATTTAATATCTTTGCTTACAAATTCGAGTGGTGTGATATTTCGGTTGACGCAGGCGAGCTCGTCGTTGGTAAAGTCGAGGAAACAAACTGATGCCAAATTGGATTATTCTCATGTCACGGTAAGTGTGTGTAATATGAACCCATTGCGTTCGTTTATAAATGTTATCATAAAGTTCAATTGTATTTATAAGATAAAAATGAGTTCATATCAGTTGTAAACTTATTCTACCAGTTGGTCCGCATTTGATTTTGAAAATGTTACTGGCCTGGATTGTTTCCTGTTGAAAATGTTATATTATAGAAAAACAAGACATGCATAAGAAAGCCCCTTCTTCTCCTTTTTTATTTTTTGAGGCATCCTACTTGGAGGAGGATGCAGTGGTACATGTGCAAGGGAGTTTCTGTTGTTTATTAGATATGATGCACTCGTGTCAGCTTTTATTCAATAATTTAGTTGGTCCATTTTGTAGGTTGAGCTTCAAACTGTGGATGGACTGGTAAAGGATAGAACACAGTGTGCTCCAAATGGATACTATTTTATTCCAGTATATGACAAGGTAAAGCTTGCATGAATTAGTATGCATGTTCATATATATATGGGATCTATTTATCTCATATTGCGATCCACTATTTTTAATTATTTGCCTTGTCTCTGTTACATGAGATAATTACCTCATGCAACATGAGATAATTATTTTCCTATATATATATATGTATGTATATGTAAATACATTATTCAGTTCTTCTCAATGCAATTATTTTTATTGCAGGGCTCCTTTGTTATTAAAATTAATGGACCTGAAGGATGGTCATGGGATCCAGAAAAGGTTAGTTATTTCTTAGTTATTGACAGTTTGACACAATTTTCTCAATGGGGATTTATGTTTCTCCTTGAAGAGTAGTCGAAGTATTCTTATTAATTCTGACACCTTTACCCTTACAGGTTCCTGTTGTGGTTGACAATCATGGTTGCAATGGCAATGAAGATATAAATTTTCGTTTCACAGGGTGGGCTACTGATTTTATTTTCTTAATACTTTATGTTCTGCTGCATCCTGTGCTTGCACTTGCTCTGGATTTCAAAATTACCTGCAGAAGTTTGTATACTGTAGGTTCACTATATCTGGTAGAGTTGTGGGAGCTGTAGGTGGAGAAAGTTGTTCAGTTAAAAACGGAGGTCCTTCAAATGTAAAAGTTGAATTGTTGTCTCCTTCCGGGGATCTTGTCTCTTCTGTCTTAACTTCGCCATCAGGGGATTACTTGTTTACAAATATAATTCCAGGTAGGAAAGTTTATATACTTGTTTACAAGTATAATTCAAGAGAGGCAAGATGTGTCTAATTAATATTATGTGCTGTTCAGGATTTGTGTTTAGATGCAAGAAATCGGAATGGAAGTTTATTTGGGTAATTCGATTGAATGGACAAAACGTTTCTTTGTTTGCGATGAGTGAAATCTGACCAAGGAATCCAATTAAGTTATATTCATTATTCATGTCTAGAAGACTAGAATTATAACTTCTGTTCATGTTGTCCGTGGGATTTGGTTTTAAAATCATTTGTTCTTACCATTATTTTTATTGTTTGCTATTATCCTTCTATCCAAAATTGTTCAAACAAACGGGCGATACACTCTTGATGTGCAGGAAAATACGAGTTACGAGCTTCTAATCCTAATATGAAAGTTGAAGTTAAAGGTTCAACGCAGGTCTGAGTTATCGTATTTTGCTATGCTTTCAGCATTTTGTTGTGTTCATACCCATGTCTTTCCTGTGTCACTATTTAGTCTCATAATACATTTGATGAGCTTGCTTATTGTGCTTGCTATTTTTATAATAATGTGCTTCTTGCAGGTGGAATTGGGCTTTGGAAATCGGATAGTTGATGATGTTTTCTTTGTCCCTGGGTATAGTATCAGTGGGTTTGTTGTTGCTCAGGTAATGTTTGTTGCAGGGACCTACCTTATTTAAAACTTCACTTTCTTTTTGGAATTGCTATATTATCTTTTTGGCGTATAACAAGTATTTAGATTCTCGAATAATATCAGGGGGATTTACCGTCGTTGTGGAAATTTCATTTGGAATTGCTATATTATCTTTTTCTTTGTGGAATTATTATATTATAATTTTTTTAAAAATCCATTTATATCTGTGACACATACAACAAAGAATAAGTTCTTGTTTGTCTCAACTGCTTCATCTATTCATATTTTTATGAGTGTGTTGAGGGATGTTTTGGCTCTCAGAAAGCTTAAACTTCCAAACTAGTTTGATGTGGTTTATTTTTTAACTTGACAGTTTAATCGAATCCTTTTTTCTTGTAGTCATGTCTTTTATTTTGGTTCTTCATTTTCCAGGGAAATCCAATATTAGGAGTCCATATTTTCTTATATTCAGATGATGTTTCTGAGGTGGAATGTTTTCAAGGTTCTGCTAATGGCCCAGAACAAGGAGGTTCTCTCTGCCATGCTGTATCAGATGCTGATGGAAAGTTCACATTCAATTCAATACCTTGCGGTAATTTCCCTTTTGAATGATTATTTTCTCTTCACTCCCTTCTTGGTGTGTTTTAGAGTGCATGTGCATGTTTTTCTGCTGAAATAGATCCCTCTCAAGAACTTCTGAAACATGTTCTTAAGATGTCCCATGGGGAGTGTTGAATTTCTGGTGCCTACACTTTGATAAAAATGAATATTCTTTCCCTGATTTTTTTTGTCATCTTGTTTGTAGTTTGTGTATTTAACTTTTGAATGAGCACCAATTTGTAGTTAGATATATATGGAAATCAATTTTCAAGATTGCAGGAACTTCACCACCCATATTTGTACTGCAATTAGTCTCTCTTAGTTATTGATCCTATGAAATTTCACTTCAAATTGTATATTGTATTTATGGCTTTATGCTAATCAACAATTGCTATTTATTCTCCCTATCATATATAATTTACTCTTTTTTATGGATTGAGTATTTATCATTCTTCTGTGCATGAAAATTGCTTCTTCTAAGTACATGCTGCTAGAACCTATTTGCTTGAATTTAGTGCTCAACCTTTTCATTAATCTACAGGAACTTATGAACTTGTGCCATACTATAAGGGTGAAAATACAGTATTTGATGTTTCGCCATCCAGTGTCTCAGTTAATGTTAAGCATCAACATGTGACAGTGCCTCAAAAATTTCAGGTACATTATATGCATTAAAATGTGGCATATACATATATACATACATACATATATACATACATACACACACACACACACATATATATATATATATATATATATCTCACCATCTTTGTAGTTTGTTTCCTTTGGCATTCAAAATAAAAATAAGTTTTATCAATCTATGGTAAATCAAAATATCTGATTATGTATCACTGTTTAGTGCTGGCCTTGTGAAACTTTCATTAAATGAAATGTGAATGCTAGATTGTGTTGTCACATTTCTTAAAAATCCCTTTAAAAAATAGATTAATCTTTTTTCATCTACTTTCCACATATTACTGCTGTATTAGTATATCCATGCTCTATCCGATATCCTTTCATTGTGTATTAATTTATTACTTTTGAATGGGATTTCATTTCCTCAATTGGCTGCTAAGTGTAGTATGATTATACTTTATTGGCATCAAGTTACTGAATGATAGCTCAGTCAACTGCTGGGTGATCAGTGTGATTAGCAACCGTAAATGCTGATGGAAGAAAATTATTCACTGTCAGTTGCATAGATTTATGGTTATCATTTGTTGAAATTTAAAGTGCATATTATCTCTGAAAAGATATAAGAAAAAGAAAAGTGAAAAACCAAAATAGAAAAGTGTTGCGACTCGGCAAGTGCACCAGTCGTTAAGTAATAAAGTGTACCGGATTACGAGATCGTTCCCGCGAGGATTGGTTTCAAACACTAGTTCGCTAATCGCGGCTTAGTTGGACAACCAAGATTGAGATGAAGAGAATTTAAATAAAGAACAATCTATAACATGCAATTCAGAATTAAAAACAATTGAAAAGATGATTGGTTTAACGATCAAGAACGAGCGTAGTTAGGGTTTCGACTTCCCCCAATTTCCTCTTTATGCTATGAATTAAATGGTCAAGAATCTGCTCTTAATATAATGCCAATCAATTCTTTCTCAATTAATTAGGGCTCAATTCCTTGTTACCCTAAATCTATGTGATCTTAGAAGAACCCTAGTTCCCCGATTATTCCCCAAGAAAACATGCATTAAGATCAAGAATTCAAAGATTGCACAATTGCCCTATGTCTATCCCTAGATCACAAGGATTATGATGAATTTACCAAATCAGGGTTCATGCACCAACATCCCTATTGTCATACAATTTTCCTAAATCAATTTATAAGGAGCAAACTCATAGAAAGCATTAAAAACAGATAAATTCATTCAAATATAAAAAGAGAAGAATTCAGAGACAATTTAATTCATAACACACAAGATTCAATTGGGTTCCATCTACCCCTAACTACATAAAAACTTAGCCTAACATATTGAATTCAAAAACAATTGGAAAGAAAATAATTCCCCAAGACTCCATTGATGTGATGTTGTCTTGACTCTTCAGTGCTCCGATGCTCTGCAACAGGATTCCTCCTCTTGATTCTTCAAACGTTCTCTAAAGCTCTCCAAAAAGCTTCCTTCAATTGATCCCAAGGCCCTTTATTTATAGAGAATAAACATATCTTTTTATTTCCATTCACATCTTCTTCAAATCTTCTATTGGATACTGATAACAATTGGGCCTGAGCTTTGACGTATCAGCGCGCTTTAGCGCTCACCAGAGCGCTTAAACGCGCTGAATAGGATAATTCTGTCTGCCTTAGAGCGTTTTAACGCTCATCAGGGCGCTAAAGCGTTCTCTTCGAGAGGAACTTTTGTTGTTGCCAGCGTGTTTTGGTGCTCTGTAGCGCGTTTAAAACGCGCTCCTCCAGTGGATTTTGGCTATTTTGCTTCATTAGCGCGCTGTTGAGCGCTCTCTATCAACCTGTGAATTGCTTGTAACTTGCTTTCTTTTGACTTCCTTTGGTATTCAAACATCTCCTTTCATTCCTTTGCTCCATTAAGCATTCTTTTATGTCAAAATACCTTCAAAATAAACAAGATTACGACATGTTAGTTAAAAATCCAACCTTTGTGATTTTATAATGTAAAACCTTAATTTCCATGCAATCCACTATGTAATTCTTGTATAAACTAGCCTAAAAACATGGTAAACCAAGGGTTTATCAAAAAGAATTGCAAATTAAGGTTGGAATTGTAAAATATCTAGGTAATATAAATTTTACTGTTGGATGATTATAAATATTTAATTTGTTGACACAATTGGTGTAGTAACAATTATCGTATTTTAGTGATATCTGTCTGTTATTGTGATTATGTGTATGTTATTTTGCTCAAGTTCCTGCTATGAATGTTGATTATCACAGGTAACTGGATTTTCTGTTGGGGGCCGTGTAGTTGATGGAAATGAAATGGGAGTGGAGGGTGTTAAAATCATAGTTGATGGTCATGAAAGGTCTATTACTGACAATCAAGGATATTATAGGCTTGATCAGGTATTAATATAATGAGATGTGCTTCATTTAGCATTTTCATTGGCAACACATTTTTTTTTTAAGTCTATGGATATAAGATCCTGAATCTTCATTTAACTTCTTCAATCTAGAAATTTTGTTTACTTGTCTCAATAGTATTTCTTTTCCTATCTCTCTTCCCAGTTTCGGTAAGTTGGTTCTTTCTGTCAATTTAACCATTTATTTCTTTTTTGATCTCCCGGATACTAGTTATGGCCTAAGATTTTGTTAAAAAACTTTTTGATCATTTTAGATTGTGCTGAGATCTTTTCATTGATTGTAGTTTTTTTTTTAATTATAATTGAATTTTATTCCTATGTTCCAGATGGTCCCTTTTTAGTCCTTTTCCCCTTTATTTCCCCCACTTCTTCTTGTCCCTTTCTTTTTTACTTTTATTTATTTATATATACATATATTGTTATTTTATTTTATCTTATTTTATATTTTTATTTTATTTGTTTATTTTTATTTATTTATTTTTGGCTTTTTTTTACTTTTTTTTTTTTAACATTTTTTCAACCGTTTTGTATCTTTCATGTGGGTTCATCTACCACCGACCCCAATTAATTTGGGATAAAGGTGTTGTTGATGTTGATGTTGATGTTGATAATTGAATTTTATTTTAATCTTTCTTATTTTTGTGTTGAATTTATTAGGTTACATCCAAGCACTATACTATAGAGGCCCGAAAGGAGCATTACAAATTCAAGAAGTTGGAAAATTATATGGTAAAATATATCATAAAAATTTATCAGATTTTTATGAGTCTAATATATTGCTCTTTTAGTATGGTGATAAAAACTTGTTAGATGGTTGAGAAATGCTTGGAATACAGCTTTGATACTTATTTTGTAATAATGAAAATTGCTGCTGTCGTAGCTCCTCTTTCGTACTTTGTTTGCTTTGCCAGGTATTGCCAAATATGGCTTCAATAGAAGACATTAACGCCATTTCATATGATCTTTGCGGTTTAGTTAGGATGGTTAGTGGTGGCCAGAAAGCAAAGGTATGCACCTCCCCTTTCATGTAAGTAGCTTAGCAATATTTGCATGTTAAATCAAAGTTGATCTTTTGTTAATTGTAATAGGTGGCTTTGACTCATGGACCTGATAATGTGAAACCACAAAAGAAACAAACAGATGGAAATGGAAACTTCTGCTTTGAGGTATGCCAGTTCTGTGCAATGAACCAATTGTTTTTTCTCCTTTTGTTGTTGTCGTTCGTCTCCTAGTATCATGTGGATACAGTTAACTCAGGCTGAAAGAGAAAAGGTTTTGGATACAGATAACAGATTGTACTATATGATCTGGGAGTTCTGTTTTTATTGTTGTTAGCTTTTTTGGGAAGCACCATGTTACCATTGAATCTGTCTCTGTTTATGGTATTTTTCTATCTTCTGGTCACAAGCTTTGACAGGAAAGATCTGAAACTTTGGGGCTATGCAATTTTGTATTATGAAATGAATTAGGGGTCCCAGATAGCCGTAATTATATGTAAGCAACAATTGGGGAGTTTGTGGTTGCGGCTTTGAGATTATGAATTTTTTTTTTTATTTTTTTTCTAATATAGTTGTTTGTTTAAACAATTAGAATAGAAAAACTAATCTGTTATGAAGGGATTTGGGTTAGATAGCGTGGTTTTTATATCGAATATTTTAGTTGAAACCGAAAGAAATGCTAATTTTCAGCATCTGCAGTTCCTGAAAAGAATATAACTTTTTGTGTTTGAAGATGATGGACAGGTGTCAAAATTATGTCTATCTTGAAATCTCAAATTTTTCAGTAATAAAATTAATTCGGGAAAAATATTTCAATTTTTGCTGTAAATTTTTTTTCTGCCGCTCACATAAAAGTGAGCGGGTGCCATTGTAAAGAGGAGAAAAAAAAATTAGTGGAACTCACTCACGTTTACGTGAGTGTGATAGAAAAAACTTTTCTGCTATAAAAATTGAAATGTTATTCCCAAATAATTTTATGCCTTTTTTCTTTAGTGATTCTTTTGGAGTATCTGCTAAATTTTGATTGTTCCTTCCTTATTATTGGTGTGTTACTCATTTGTTTAATGTCTAGGTTCTGCCTGGTGAATATCGCTTATCAGCTATTGCTGCTACTCCTGAGAATTCTGCTGGACTCATGTTCGCTCCATCTTATATCGATGTTGTGGTTAAGAGTCCATTGTTGAATGTTGAATTTTCACAGGTAATTTTATATTGCATTTTAACTATATGCCTTTCTTCTTTTATGCTGCATGCATTGTGAGATGATCAGTCATATATGGTTTTATTACTTGTTCAGCAATGTTCTTATGTAGATGACAACATATAACTGTGTTTGGATAAATGATTTTAAGGAGGTAATGTACTTTTTAGGAGGATTTAAAATGATTTATCATAAAAATACTTTTTAGTAACTTTTCATGTAGAATGTAGTATTTGAAATGACATCTCATTTGGTAGAATTTTAAAATTTCCCATCTATTCTCTCCCGATTTCACTAAGCCACTCTCATTGTTGGAGGAGAAAGTGGCGATAAATCTCATGGTGATGATGAAGTGGTCATAGAAGGTGTTGACATCATGGGTGGTGATCGATTTAGATGGTCGTAGATATTCATAGCCTTTATAAGGGAGATGATGGGGCTTGAGGTGCTAAGCTAAAGATCAAGATGATTTGCTTGCTCCATCTTTGTCTACGAGAAAGATGCAATTGGCTTTTGAGGGCACAATTATCAATGTGTTACACTTTCTCAAAATAGTTACCCAAATGCCACGACGTGGGAACATTTTCCCAATATGTCATGCTTTTCGATTCTGTTGACGCCACCAGTGCGACCTACCAACTACCAAGTCCTGTCATGTGCCAGTGGCCATTCATCCTAAATTTAATTCCTTCTCCCATCCCTATCATCTCACTTATCATAAATAGTATTAAATTGACTTTATTTTGTTATTAAACTCGAAATTGATATTAAATTAATTAATTTAAATAATAATTAATAACGTAAATAATTCTTATTCATGTGGTGATATTTCAAAATCATTGCAAATTCAAAAACATCAAATTTATTGTCGATAATGGCAATTTGATGATTGATTTTTTTTAGTTTGCTAAAAAAGAATGTTCACATGTAAATAATTATTTTAATAAATTGATCAAATTGTCATTATTATTTTGTATTAAATTGGCATAATTTCGTTAAGTCAATCCCCTTGGGAGCATTCTTTTTTTGGCAGGGAAAGAAAATGAAAAATTAATAATCATGTTGTCGTCATTGTTAATAAAATTTAAGTTTTTGGATTTCTAGGGATTTCAAAAATTCACCAGACAAATTAGAATTATTTACATTTATAATTATTATTTGACTCAATGAATTTAATATCAATTTGTAATTTAGTGTCAAAATAATACTGCCAATTTGGTTAATTTATCAGAATAATTATTTACGTATGAGCATTCATTTTTTAGCAAATTAGGAAAAAAAGAAAAGAAAAATCAATCATTGAACTGTTATTATTGACAATAAATTTGAGGTTTTTGAATTTGCAGAAATTTTAAAATATCACCACATAAATGAGAATTATTATTTGACTTAATCTATTTGATGCTAATTTCAAATTTAATAGCAAAATTATAATGTCAATTTAATACAAATTATGTGGAGTGAGAAGATAGGGATGGAATAAAGGAGAGAAATTTATGATAACAGTCAGGATTTTGCCATGTGGCAGAGTTTGATGAGTTTCGCCAGTGGGGTCAGTAGGATTGAAAAACGTGGCATCCTGTCAAATAGTTCCCACGTGGCATACTGGAATATATTTTGAAAAAAGTGGCACATGGGTAGTTGTGCCGACTTTTGAGTGTTTTTCCTTCTCCTGTATGGTGCTCATCAAGGATGGATTGAACCAGTAAAATGATTAAATAAAATCTGGTACTTCGGTTCCAATGAGAAGAACTTCAAATTATTTAACGATGATGGTTTTTGTAGCTAGACTTGTTGGTTTTATATGATATTGATGTGAGGCTAGGTGTGGTGGATGAATATGAAGTTATGGTGGTAGCAGATTTGTAAACAGGTGACATTTCCAGAAGTGAATTTCAGAAATAATTTAACCAAATACTAAATTTTACTAATGATGGACATTGGATTACTTCAATTTAATTTCATTGCATTTCAAATTCTGTGTAATTTTAAAACCCTCCATCCAGTCACAACCTAAGATTCTTTTGATTAGAATAGAATTACTAACCTGAATTTATTTATAAATTCTATATGGTAATTCTTTTATTTGATTCCTCTAAATATCAGACTCCTCTCCGTCATTTCCTTTTGGAATCTTTTTGACCCCATCCCTCCTGAGGACCTGGATATAAAGCCCTTATTATATATGGTATCATGTCAAGTTTTCATAAAAAAAATTCTGTTCTGATTGTATGCCCTATGATTGTAGGCTTTGGTCAATATTCACGGTGCTGTAGCCTGCAAGGAGAATTGTGGTCCGTCTGTATCTGTTAGTCTTGTGAGACAGGTTGATAAACATAATGAAGAGAGAAAGACAATTAGCTTAACCGCCGAGAGTAGTGAATTTCTGTTTTCAGATGTTATTCCTGGAAAATACAGACTTGAGGTTTGGCTTCTTTTGCATTTCCATTTTATCTGTGGTTTGTCTAAGTAGAATATTCTTTAGTTATTTTAAGTTTTATTTCCTGAACACTTTTCTTTTAAATTTTCTATGTCTTGATTCATGTGGATTTTTTTTCCACTGTGTAATAATATTTGTTTTAGGTCAAACATAGTTCCCCTGAATCAGTGACCTTAGAAGATAATTGGTGCTGGGAGCAGAGCTTCATAGATGTAAATGTTGGAGCTGAGGACTTGGAAGGAATTATTTTTGTTCAAAAAGGCTACTGGGTCAATGTTATCTCCACTCATAATGTTGATGGTTCCATGACTCGACCAGATGGATCAACTGTGAATTTGAAGATTCAGGTATTTGAATCTCTCAGTTATAGGTTATACAAATATGTCAGGATATTGCAGCGTCACAAAATTCATTTCTGTTCTTGTGTTATCTGCAGAAAGGTTCCCAGCATATATGTGTAGAATATCCTGGAGCATATGAATTTAATTTTGTTGATTCGTGTATCTTCTTTGGGAGCTCATCTGTGAAAATTGATACATCTAATCTATCGGTATGGAGAATTCAGATAGCCATGACCATATTTTCAGTTTTTTCATTCATATTTGGTTCTTTTTAGGATTTTCTTCCGTCATTTTTTAAATTTGTTTTTGTAGCCAATCCATCTAAAAGGAGAAAAGTATCTTCTTAAAGGACAAATACATGTGCAGTCCAGCTCACTTAATGCATTGCCTGAGAATGTAGTTGTTGATATTCAACATGATGGAGCTGGTGTTATTGATCAAGCTACGGCCATACTTCAGTCTCATGGGAAAGATCAAACAAATAACGCTATCTTAGAGTATTCTATTTGGGCCATTCTTGGAGAAAAGCTTACCTTTGTTCCTCGGGACTCAAGGTACATTTATGTAGCTGGTTGTTAAACATTTATGGTTACATATCTATTTTGGTTAAAAGGATTCTGTAGAAAGAGATATAATCAAGAGAGGAAAACCGTTTGTGTGTAATTAATAGTGACTATCTCATTACATCTGTCTATTTTTCCTGTGAGGATTGACTATGTATTGCCTGTAATATTTAAGTGTAATGCATTTATACCATTTGTACAGTTGCTTTTTTAGTGTATCGTGCATATAAGGTACACAATTTTATGATTCTGGGAGGTTTATGCCTGGTCCTTTTATTTCGGTAGTTTAATTACTTTTTCTCTTTTTTCCCACCTCCTTCCCTCCTCTTGCTGTAGCTGAAATAATTCAAGCGCTGCAATTTACCCAATTTTGTACAGTTGACTAATTCTTTTTTGTTTTGTTACAGGAATGATGGGGAGCAAAAACTTTTATTTTATCCTAGAGAACATCATGTAAGTATCATAGTTTTGTGTACTGATGTTTTTCTGGGACAATCGCTGAAAGTTTCATTTGCTAAATCCATTTCCTTAGGTATCAGTGACAGATGATAATTGTCAAGCTTATATTCCTACATTTTCTTGTCGGCTGGGTATATATATTGAAGGATCAGTTTCGCTTCCTCTTTCTGGTGTCCATATCCGGATTTTTGCTGCTGGAGACAGCAGTATCACTGCACTCAAAAGTGGTGAATTAGTGCTTGAAACAACCACTGGGACTGATGGCTCCTTTGTGGCAGGTCCTCTGCATGATGACGTTGGTTACAATGTTGAGGCTTCAAAGGTAGTCTCTTTTTCTGAACTATGGGAAACTACATACAATAAATGCCTTATTTAAAAAAAAATGCTAAAATGGAGTTGTACAGTTTCTCTACTTATCCATGTTTATGTGTTGATACCTCTCATTTTCATCAAAACTGATGGTCACTAGTTTGCAGTTGTATTGTCTAAAGCGATTTAACATGAGGAGTGCAAAAAAAAAAAGGAAGAAGGAAAGAAACTGGAGGAGAATCACAATATGAAAGTTATAGTTTGACACCAAATTCTAACCGTTGATTTTTGCCAATCAACAGTTAAAATTTATTGTGTCAAATTTATTAATTAATTAGTAATTCGCAATAAATTATAATTGTTGATTGGCGGAAATCAATAGTTAAGATCTAGTGTCAAACTTTTTAGTTTGACACCAAATCTTAACCGTTGATTTTCGTCAATCTGAAAGCTATAACTTATAGGGTTATACTTATTAATTAATTTATTATTTCCAATAAATTATAACCGTTAGATTGACGGAAATCACTTAATCTTTGATTTTCGTGAATCTAACGGTTATAATTTATTGGGTCACACTTATTAATTAATTTAATAATTCCCAATAATTATAATCGTTAGATTAACAGAAATCAACGGTTAAAATTTGGTGTGAAACTAAAAAGTTTGACACCGATGTCAAATGATCCTATCCCTATATATATATATATATATATTGTGTGTACAATTTTCTTTATGTTAATACTCTCCCCAGAACCTCTTACATTTGGCTGATCCTTTTTTAATACTATCATTCTCTCCAAGAAGAACAGTTCCTCGAAATCTATGATTTGGTTTCGAATACTTTTTTCTTGAACGATATTCAAGAAAATTTCGGATTTGCTTGGTATTCCACCGGTTGGCAACCCAAGATTCCAAACTTTTCTTAAATGCGGAAGAGATGCACTTTGGCAAAAAAACTATAGATATAAGATATAGAAGGGGAGTGAATGCTTTCTTTTTTGCCATTTTTCGTCGTTAGTGAACTCAGCTTCACATCATTAGTCAAACCTTATATGATAATAATCTTTAATTTAGAAAGAAAACAGAAACCCAATAACCTCTAAAGAGTATCATTTGTTGAAAGATAAATGTAAGTACTGAATGCAAAGGGCTATCTTAAGTGGTTTTTTTTTTTTTTTTTGTTTGATTGCCTTCATGTTATCTTGTATTTTTTGATTTATTCATTTTTTTTTTATATTTGCAGCCTGGTTATCATTTAAAACAAGTTGGGCCTTATTCCTTTAGTTGTCAGAAGCTTAGTCAAATTTCAGTACACGTACATCACAAGGATGATGCTGGAGAACCCATTCCTTCTGTTCTGTTATCTTTGAGCGGTGACAACGGTTATAGAAACAACTCAGTATCTGGGGCTAGAGGGACATTCCTGTTTGATAATTTGTTTCCTGGAATGTTCTATTTGCGTCCTGTTTTGAAGGTACTATACTGGACATAACTGTTTACGATATTGTGTTCTGCTGCTTGTTTTATCCGTTGTATGCTTGGCTTTTCTATCAATCAGCTTTTCACAATATTACTTGATTTGATTACGCATCCAAAATAATCTCTGCCCCCAAAGGGAGTAAGAGCCTACTTGTGGTTGACAAAAAGAAACAAAATATGAAAAAGAAAAGAAGAAACTGTATCATTTTGCTGTCATGTTTTATTGTGTAGCTTGCTTATCCAGATTCTTTATGTGTTTCTTTTTAGCTTGAGTCATCTCTTTATGCTTGTACTAAATTATTAATATTTTTCTGCTTGGGTGCAACTCAACAATTAAAAAAAAGTTGTGAAGTCTGTAAATATAAGAATTTTTAAGAAATTGATGATGATTAAAATTATGTTGGTCATTGCTGAAACTATGTCCTGGACAACTGCCTTATTCAGCATATATTATTTCCTAGGAGTATGCTTTCTCACCTCCAGCACAGGCGATAGAGCTCGGAGCAGGGGAGTTTAGGGAAGTTATTTTCCAGGCCACGCGCGTAGCCTACAGGTTTCATTTTGTTATTTCATTCTAATCACCCTTATGTCATTTAACGAAAGCAATCATCAGTATGTTCAAGTTTACTGCATTTCAAGTATTTTTAGCTTTGTGCCAATGTTTTTTCAAAAAGATTATGGTTTAATTGCTTATCTTGGACATTTTTGTGCGGAAAAGAATAATGGTCTGACATTTTCCTTGGAATCATTAAAACCAACTATCAAACATTATCTGAAAGTGTACTTTGAATTTTTTTCCCCTTGTATTCAAAAAGATATCAATGAACTTGTTAAAGTGTTATGTTTGCTTATATCTTTTTCGTGCTTTATATATCATCTCATTTGCTATTTCTCTATTGATATGATATTTGCTCAATAATTACCTGCCTTGTTATGTACAAGTTATTGAGACCCTACGGTGACTGATTTTGATACATACATATAGACTGTCTGTAATCTGTATAAAACAAGTACAACTCCTCTAGTTTAAGAATATTGTAAGAGGGGACGCCACTGGTTTAAATGAGAAACTTCATTCCAAAACCCTTGGACAAAGGCTTCTTGTCAGGTATGGGTGTGTTCTGATTGGGGAATTTGAGTGAGAGCAGGAGTGCAACTCAACACACTACTAGCGTTTGCAAGCTTGGCTCCATTTCAACTAATTTTAATGATCCAGATTTTGCACATACGTCACATAGTACATAAAAGTATGTTCTTTTCTGAATTGTGTAGTAATCATTTTAATTCGTAGTTGACCTAATAGATTGACTTTGAATCATATCTATTCAAGTATACATGATTATAGTGGAAAGCAATCCTGCCTCTTGCACAAGGTTGCCTCGACCTGAAGATGCACACCATTGCAAGGCTTTGTAAGACTAGTAATTTTCCTTATAAAAGGAACTTAAATTATGCTGGTGAATAGGGTGATGAAGGATATAAAACTGGTACCCAGAGGAATCACATACTGACAACCTAACCACTGAGCAAGGGCATGTTTGCATTATTTATATTTTTTTACACCGTGCAACCTTTTCCCCTTTTCCCTGTGGTTGCACTTTTTAACTTGAGCACACTTTACTCTGGAAGATGCTGAGGCAAATCAATCCTTACAGTGCAACAGGCTTAGTCACTCTGTTGTCTGGCCAACCCAAAGCAGGAGTTTCAGTTGAAGCCCGGTCAGAGTCAAAAGGCTATTTTGAGGAAACTGTAACAGACTCCTCTGGGAAATTTCGTCTGAGAGGTCTAATGCCTGATACTGTGTATGTTGTTAAAGTAGCTAAAAGGGATGTCATAGACAGCACTAATATAGAGCGTGCATCTCCAGATTCTATTGCCATCAAGGTTAGTTCCTGGTAGCTATCTTTTATTTCTTTTTTGGTAGATTGGTAGTTATCTGTTGTAGCTTTGCTGTCAATGTTCTGATCCTGTTATAACTTGTTTGTTGATGTTCCAAGGTTGGAACTGAGGATATCAACGGTTTGGATTTTATAGTTTTTGAGGAGCCTGAAGTGACAATTGTAAGTTGCCACGTTGAAGGAAATGGTACGGATGAACTACGCAAACACCTGATGGCAGAAATAAGGTCAGCTAGTGACCCAACTAAGATAGAGTCAGTCTTCCCCCTGCCAATTTCTAACTTCTTCCAAGTAAAGGGCTTATCAAAGGGCAGACACCTTATACAGCTTCGATCTGGTCTCTCTTCAAGCTCGCTTAGATTTGAATCTGATATCATTGAGGTCGACTTGGAGAAAAATATTCAAATCCATGTGGGCCCTCTGAGATACAGGATTGAAGATCAGCTGAAGCAGGTTTCTTTCCTTCTTTTATCAAAATTTTTGCCTAATTTGCCTTCTTTTATCAAAATTTTCTGTTAACTATATTCTGTTTCTTTCTTCTGTTGCTTTGGATCATAATATTTCTTATTTTTAATTCTTGTACAATGCAGGAGCTGACTCCAGCACCAGTATTCCCTCTTATAGCTGGATTTCTAGTTGTTACACTATTTCTCAGCATGCCAAGGTAAGTTTGATATTCCTATTCTTTTTCACCTTCACAGCAACTAGCTTTGGACTTATATGGCCATGTATCTTCATTGATCTCTTCCCCTAATCCTATATGAAGATTGAAGGATTTGTATCAAGCCACGGTAGACATACCCACACCTGGACATACTGCGACTTCAAGAAAAGATGTGAGGAAGCCAATGTTGCGAAAGAAGACTTATTAAATCCCCTTTCCTACCACACAAAGCTTGTGTTAGTGTAACTGCTCTTAGTTGAGTTAGTTTGACAGCATTCACGTTCTCTGATAGGTTCGGATGTTTTTCTTTATTAATCTGGAGGGGCAAATGCAAATAGAATGTAATTAATATTCTTCCTTGATTGTTAGGCTCATTTTTTGTACTTAACTTTTTGGCGTTGGAGCAAACGCAAATAGAAGCAATATTTTTTAGCGGCGAAGGTACTAAGCTTGGACGTTTTGACCCTGCTTGGAAGTGCATGATTTGTTAATCATACGATGGAAGAACTAGGTTTTGCAAATTAATTAGTGAATGAATAGAGCTATTCGCATATTGAAGAAGCCACGCACGCAACTTGTCATGATACATTCACCGCATATTTTTTGCATTTGTTAGGACAATGTTTAGGCTCGTTACTTAATCCTAGATTGGTAATCCCAATCACCTGGTGTTCATGGCGGACTAGAATCATGGATGTTATGGGACAGTTAAATGGAATGAAGCTTATATTGTCAGGAAAAGGAGACATCTGTATTCAAAAAAATAAAATAAAATAGTAGACATCTTGCACAGTCGAACGTGGATTCTTGCAGCGATTCCTCCTACAGCACCCACCCTACCTACCCGAATACTACGTCGGGTCTCTCCCTCTGATGGTTTGTGAAACTCAATGCAAATTGCAATTCTGTGGGCAACTCTGGAAGAGCGGGTGCTGCATGTTGGTGGTATTGTCAGTAAGTTAGATGGGGTTTGGGGGTTTGATTGGGCAAGGAACTAATCTTCTCGCAAGGATCATAGCTATTTACAGTGGCAAACAGCTGATTTGTGAAAGGGCATGCAGAATTGTGGTATGTGTAAAGGAGTGACCTATCTTTTATTAGAAATTTCTTCTAAACTAAATTCGTATTTAAAGTGAGAGTGTCAATGAAAGTCATTCAAATGAAAATCTTTATTGGCATATTTAGAATCCATCCTTCTTTGTCAATGAAAGAGAGGCAAAAAAAAAGTTAATATATTATTATTTAAATAAAAAAATTATGAAAATATAACATTTTAAAATCTATTTACAAATTTATTACGTTGAGTCACGTCCAAAATAAATTTGACTAACGCTTAATATAGGTGCCACCCATAGCTTGTAAGATGTCTGTCCGGACATAAGGTCTTATTGCCCATGTCTTAGAGTCACCCTTGTGCTTTTGTAGAATTAGTGTCCATGTCTTAGAGAGAGAGAGAGAGAGGGGAAGAGGTATACTTGTAGGGTTGAGGACTATGCTGGGCTTAAGGGTGGTCCTAACCTTTTACTGATCTAAAGACCTGAAATAAATTTTCACTACCAAAATTTTTTATTATCAACTTACTATCTATCTAATCACCATTAGATTAATATTTTCTCTCTCTTCAAAAACTTTTTAACATTATCTCTCTTTGATCCAATGGTGATGATGTGATGAGTAGTACAAATTTTTGGTAGTTAGAATATCCTTACTCATAATCAAAAAGGTTAAATCTGAAAGTCTATAACACTAATCCGTGTAAAGACTTTTTATATAAATAATTATAAGCAGCAGATTCATATATTATTGGGAAATAGTTTTCTCCAACTGTAAGAGATAATTATCTCATGTCACTTAGACATAAAAAGACGTGTTTGTAATTTTTTTCTTTTATATATTTTTTAATTTGTGAGCTCCACATTTCTTGTTAGTGTAGGAAAATAAACTTCTCTCATGTTAAATGAGAGAAGTATTACCCTATATTATTACTCACATGACAAATGTATATGTGTGTAACTTAAGCCGGCTCACTAAGAAATAAAGCTAATAACCTGGGAAAGTTCAAATTTAACTCAATTTAACAAATGAATTAAAAAATTTAATTTATTGAATTATTAATGAACGGAGCCATAAGTTTATGAGTTAGTTTCACTTCTTGTCGTCCACAAATAAAATACGTTTTACTTTTTTGAAAAAGGGATTTTTTTTTTTGGGTACCAAAAAACCAGAGACCCTTTCAACATATTGATTTTGTTTCTAATCACTTATCTTATCTCTCTCAAAGTTAAATTTTAGATAAAATTATTGTTATTATAATTAAATCAAACAAAGCACATGGAAGTCATTGACCACATGATCATATTATTAATCTCCAGAAATTTAATTAATTAGGAAATTAACATATTAAGACCTGTATTTTGGGCCCGTGATGTGGCTCAATTATCAATAGACCCAACAACAAATCTTAAATCCTAAACTTATAAATAGCGTCTCCATCCTTTTTTTATCATCTTTTTCATTTTCATACTCCGTTCTTTTCCCTCACAATTTGAGTATCAGAGTCTATACTGTTATGCCCATGGAACACATATAAGAACACATTTCAACATAACTTAATTTCCCTATGATTCACAAAACCTATGATTCATACTTCTGGAAAAATCTGTGTAGTGTTTGGCCTTCGTTTCTTCAAGCAACTCGTTGGGAGATTGGTGATGGTAATGACACAATATTCTGGAAAGATAATTGGCATGGTTTATCAGAAAGTCTCGTATCCCTAGCTACATCTATGTCTACATTGAATGATTTGCATCTTCTTGTTAGTCATTTTGTGAATAACGATGGTCAATGGAATTTTTCTTACATGCATCAATATTTCACTGACCATGTTATTGCAAGAATCTCTGCAGTTCTTACTCCTAGCGAGTCAGCTGGACATGATCGTATTATTTGGAAGAATCAGAAGGTGGGTTGTTCATTGGTAAAAGTTGTGTATTGTTCTATGCTTAATTTTCCTCTTGAGAAGGTGCAAAATACTTGGACTAGCTTGTGGAAATGGAATGGCCCTCCGAGAGTTAAAACATGCATATGGATAATTACGCATGGTCGGCTTCTTACTAAGGATCGAACAGCTACTTGGAGTGGTGGTCACAGTTTCTGTTTGTGCTGTCATGGTGAGCTGGAAACGAACCTCCATGTCTTGCGAGATTGCAAGCATGCTCGTGGAATCTGGGACTGTTTAGTCTTACCTAATCATGTGTGATCATTCTATAGCTTGGACTTGAGAGGCTGGGTTGAAAAGAATATTACAATGACTTGGAGCCATGATAGCCTAGATAATTGGCGTGATTTATTTTTCATCTCTTGTTGGTTCTTATGGGGCTAGAGGAATAGAAGTGTCCATGATTCTAGTTTCATTCATCCCAATCATGGGTTGAAATTAATTCGTATGTATGTTGAGGAGCTGCGCAACAATAGGGGCAGGAAGCTATTGCAGACTGGTAGCTCTAGTAATATTCGTAGAGTTAAGTGGTTACCACTGCGAATAAATTGGGTGAAGATCAACGTAGATGGAGCGGTCGAAAGGATTAGCGAAAGGGCTGCTTGTGGTGGGTTAATTCGATCTGCTGATGGTTCATGGCTAGGAGGTTTTGAGTATCATATTGGTGCCTGTACCCCAATTATGACAGAATTTTGGGGAACCCTTAAAGGTTTGGAGATGGGCTGGCAAATGGGGTTTATGAAGGTGGAACTAGAAGGAGATGCTTCTGAAGTTTTCTTTATTCTTGCATATTGCAATGCAGCTTGTCAGCCGAGAATAGTGGCTAAGATACAAGCACTTATTGCTCAGGACTGGAAGGTAACACTTAATCATATTCCAAGAAAAGCAAATACATGTGCAGATTGGTTAGCTAAGTCTGCTCTTCAGAAAGACACTGAATTTTGGCATCATCAAATCATGCCAAATCGTCTTGCTCAACTTTTTGATCAAGATCTCCGGGGGATTATAGACCCCGGATAGTTTGTTAGTTTTGTTTAGTTTCTGTTGTGTTTTGTTTGGGGCTATGCCCTTTATTGTTATAAAAAAATAAAATAAAATTTCCCTAGTTCTAATTTTTAATATTAATTCTTATACACTATTATTTCATAATATAATTAAACATGTATGAATAGGTACAACGACCTTTTTTTTGTTTCAGAATTATAAAAGGAAATAAAGACAAAATGGAAATAAAGGGAATTGGAAATAGCACGAGAAGAATGGAGAATTTCCTTCGGTGGTAAGAGCAACGTAGAAGAAGCAGAACAAACAAACGTGTCATCAGTGTTTGGCTCCACATGTTTAGGAGCCTCGTGCTATCGACAAATTAAACCATACCCACGAAAAGTTTGTCTTTTTCATGTTAAATTAAATAAATAAATTATTCCTTCTCTTTCTTTTTCTTTTTTTAATTATTTTTAAGAAAATTATTTTGTAAGATAGAAGCCAGTTTTAAAGTTGAGTTCGTTTTTTCTATCGTCAATGTAGATAATTTATTTACATTGAGCCTAAAACGATGTCATTTTGAGTTAAAAATCAATGTGTTTTTGTAATTATAATTTATTTTAGATTATAATAATATTTTTTATTATAATTTTTTAATTTTTCAACTCAGAACAACATCATTTTGAAAGCAAATATAGATAACTTATCTACATTTATTTTAAAATAATGGTCCTGAATGATCCAATTTTGAGTTTTACTATATATTTTTCCACTCAAAAATATTTTTATCTGTTTTTTGTCAGAAGTTCAAAAAATATAAAAAAAGTATAACTAAGAGAAAATATAAATAACAATTATTAATATTTTAATAAAAAGTAATCTAATTAATACATGTATCTCTACTTAAAATTAAAATTATACAATAGTTTTTTAATTCTTATCTAATAAACCATAACATTGAAAAGATTAAAAAATGAAAAGTATTGTCTACAAAATGTTTGAAAACGAAAAATTATACAAAAGGTTCCATTCTGTCACTTTGGTCCTTTATTTGAAGTTGGAAAATTGGAATTGGCACTTTCTAGATTCAATTTTCTTTTACTGTTTCTTTCCTTCCTTTGGCATCTAAGAATCATGGCAAACTCCAATCACGCTTTGTTTATGGAAAATATGACTTTTTCTCTTCAATGCGTGAAGCATATAATGCTTGTGCTTATCAGACTCTTAAATAAAAGCAAAATAACATATGGCAATGACAAAAAATGTAAAAGAAGATAACTAAACTCTTCGCAGTAAACTTAGCTGAATCATATATTGGAAGACGAGAGAATATTCACGTGTAAACGCCAGGGGAAATTCGGATGTGAATCCACTGAGAGTTTTTCAGGGTGTTTTTGCAATTTTGTTTATTTTTTATCATATATATTTTATTGAAACATCTTTCATTAATCAAAACGACGTAGATTTTGAAATAGCTGTAAATAATCTTTTCTATAGTGGCTCTAGAAATATTTTTTTCTCTCCATATATATATATATATATATAT